ACCCTAGGCTGATCTTGTAGTCCTTATGCACATAAGATTCCAGTTACAGTCAATGGTAGTCTGAGCTGCATAAAAATGACAGGATCAGGCCCATTATGTTAAAAATTCAGGCCGATACTGTCCATGTTCACAAAGAAAATGACTTCCATGAAATAGCTTACCTTTCTGCTGAATAGAGCATCTGCTGCAGAGCCAAAAAATCATCCACTGTATAGAGCTTGTATTCTTTTTAATAAGTACCACTGATTGAAATGTACAAATGCTTTAGCTGTGTGCAACTTTAGTTTATTCTTTAATTGTAATATGCTTAGCAGAAATACATTACTGTCAGCAGGCAGCCCATGTTAAACTACTTACAGTAAAATAAGACTCTTTTCTCAGAAGCGTAAAAGAAAAAGAATTAAAAATTGGTGATTTTTATGAAATAACTTTAGCATTTCTATTTGCCAGAGATTCAGCTTCTTACAATATATGCATGCTTTGATATGATTTGGTTTGCTTTTCTGATTGAAAGGTAATTTCAGTCCCAAGCCAGTATCTTACATTATGATAAGCACAAATTAAAATACTGATAATCATGTTAGCAACAGTTCTTTTAACACGGTCTACACTTTTACCATTCAAGCAGGTAATGTTTACAACACCTAAAAAGCAGTCATTTTGTAATGATGGTCATTTTAAAAAACTTTTTGGGTTAAACATATAAATATATTTTTTAAATATTATGTCAAAATTACTAAATAATGCAAATGCAACAGGCAAGTTCCACAAAACTGAAAGTCAGGATTTGGAGCCAAGGGTCGTTTAACTAAAGAACCCCTTGATAAGTGAAGAGACACTGGAATTATTTTACTGGAGGATAGAAATGTTTTAAGTTCAGCGGAATAATACTTTTCAGCCTGAAGAAAGACGTTGGCCCTGATTTAGCAAAGCATCTAAGCACGTTCTTAAATCCCACTAAGTCCTATGCTGAATTGGGGCCTTTATAGTTAACATTAACAGGGCTATTAAATGTGCACAAGCAAATTAAAACATCATTAGATGAAATTATATGTTACATACGTGCAAAAGAAAGCAACCTGGGGATATATCTCATTTATAAAATAATATAGGGTCCCATCCTGCAAACCTTCATGTTACGTGAGTAGCACTTACACAAATAAGGCTTTGCAAGATTGAGCCCCTAGTTTTCAATTATTTTTTGTTTTTACATATTTTGCATATTATATTCTCTATCTCAACATGAGTTTGCATTATAAATCCAGACTCCATCATGTCACAATTCTTTTCTAAATCACATTCAGTGCTGGGGTAAGTGGGCATCACAGCCTCAGCTTGAATAGATTTAAGATCTGCGTTACCCCGGGCTGAATTTCACTCATCATCTGCTTTCTAGAAAGAAACATTAAGAAAAGATTGCCAAGGAAACCTTAACATCTTTTCCCTACATCTAATGTTAGTAGTCTAGACTAGAGAGATATTATTCATTACATATGGATTGTTAGGTGGATAGATGGAGTAGTAACATCAGATTGTTCAGATAAAGTAAATGTTAATCAATACATCACTCTGATACAATGTATCATGAGAGTGCAAATATAACTATTTTTGAAAAACGGTAGAACGATAAAACCATATAGTGTGTTATATGATGGTGTCAAGAATCTGGACCTGCAGAGCCAGTCTCTGGGCAACCTAATGAGTGCAGCTGGCCTGTAGTAGACCGCATGAATGTCTTACATGGCCTGATTGTTGGGAAGAGTCCACAGACCAGCTCTGAAACCCAGCAGTTTGGTGGCTGCTCTCATTGCTATGATAGCACGTGCCTCAGACCCAGTCCTGCTCCTGCCTTGCCTCCAGGTAACCTGGTTCTGACCTTTGGCACCAATTTCTGACTTTGGCTTTGACCTTTGGCTCTGGCATCTGGCCTCAGCCTCTGTTTCTGAGTCTGGCTATTGACTCCTGCTCTAACTAGTAGGCCTGACTCCTGCTTCAAGCACTAGGCACAACTGCCTACATCCCAGTCACTGACAGATGGAATGGTTAGGTCCTGCCATGGCCTGCAATATAGTTGATCCCTAACTGTCAATGTACAATGTCCAGCAAAAACATACATTTATAACAGCATACAATAGCAACAAGTTAGCTCATTTAGAACAATAGATACAGAAGGCAAAAAGTAACTAATGCAAAGCAAGAAAAATAGGGAATCTTAGAAGCTGCCATTTCTAGGGGCTGTTGTGAGGAATACCCAAAGATTATGTACTCTAAAGTTTAGCCTTCAGCAGAGAAAGTGTCTGAAGTTTGGAAACACATGGCAGATTCACTTTCCAGAGGCCATTCAGAAACGGGGGTATGAAAGTATGGAATTTAAACGCAAACTGTAGGTGAGGAAAGAATGCTTTCTTTTGTTTAAAGTTCCCCGTGTTCAACTCCATGAAGATAAGTTTGTTCATAGCTGTGTGAGTTTATTTATCAATTGTAGGCCTATCCCATAGCCCTATTAGAGGCAAAGGGAAGGGGGGCATCTAAATGTTGTTCAAGGTACATGGGGCCTGATTCTTTGCTCCAGCCAAGCTGTGCTTGGCACAGGACTAGCGAGGGAGGGAAAACATGATTTGAAGGCACTTTTACGTTCCCCTTATCCTGGGGCTGGCCAGGGCCCAGCTGAGTCCAGAGCTGCTCTGACATCCAAGAATTTCCTGGCAAGTGAGGGTCACTGGGGTTCAGGAATGCCCTGACCATGAGCCCTTTCCCCCAGGAATGCACAGGAGGCTAAGAGGAAGCTGGTTCTACGCAAGTGAATGTGCTGTATCAAGACACCGAGGGTAAGAGAAGATTCCGGAGCCTTATTCTCCATAAAATTGTAGTTTTATGCTAGAATATTTCCATTGATTTCAGTAATGGTGTAACTGAGTTGGGAATCAGGCCCTTAGTAGTCGTATGAAAGTTAGTGCTTGAAGCCTCCAGAATGATGCATTCAGAATTACAATGAAATAATGCCAGGTTTGATGGGTTTAAATGGGTAGTCATTAAACTAGTTTTAGGCCGACAGAAAGGGTTCATTAGAATGACTTTAGGATTTGCACAGTTTGGTTTTGCTATTCTGTATCAGGGAGGTAAGCAGAGAGAGAATATATATGCATTGTTTACACAATACAATCAGACCCCCAAATTATGCAGGAGCATTTCATCCATCCATCCAGTGTTCCATTTTGCTACATACCAGTCACTATTGCTAGGGGCACTACAAGTAATTGCCGCTCAAACATGTTGCATTTTCAATAGTTAATTTCCCTTCTGATTAGGAAATAAAATATAGGGTTTCTCCACCCTGCCCATACCATATTTTGTCATGCTAACACCTACACTATAGTCTCTCTTCTATAAGTTCCTCCCCAGCTTCCTTATTCAGATGGAAATTCTGTTTCCTCAGTTTGGACAATGGAAGGTCCATGGGGATTTCCTGACTCATCTCCTGTAAAGCAAAATTCTAGTTCAGGTCTCAGAAGTTTCATAAAATGTCGGTCTTCTGGGACTTTTGTAACTCTGTGAGCAGGAAGACTGGCTTCCCAGCATTCCCTGACAGGGAAGATGACCCATGCCAATAGTCATCTTGAGCTTTTCAGTGCTATACAGACTGCTCATCTACAGCCATTATTGTCTGGCATGTATGTCTCTCCTCAAGAAGGTCAATTGACTTGAGAGCCAGAGGACCTTCCATTATGAAAGAAACTTATTCTAATAACCTGGAAAACAAAAATCTAACACTCACTATAAAGCAGTGGTTTTCAAACTGCGGGTCGTGACCCAGAACTGGGTCGTGGAATGTAAGGCACTGGGTCTCAGTGGTTCTGGTCAGCACCGCCAATCAGGCCGTTGAAAGTCCCAGCGGCGGTGCTGCCCGGCTAAGGCAGGCTAGTCCCTAACTGGTCTGACACCACGCTGCACCCCGGAAGAAGCCAGCAGCAGGGCTGGCTCCTAGGCAGGGTGGGGGTTAGGGGAGGGCCACAGGGCTCCGTGTGCTGCCCCCGCCCTAAGCACCAGCTCTGCACTCCCATTGGCTGGTTCACGGCCAATGGGAGCTGGGGGTAGTGGTGTCTGCGGGCGAGAGCTGCATCGAGCTCCTTGCACACCTCCGCCTAGGAGCCGGACCTGCTGCTGGCTGCTTCCGGGATGCAGCACGGTCCATGGTGCCAGGACAGACAGGAAGCCTGCCTTAGCATCCGTCCTCCATCACTGACCGGGAGCTGCCCGAGGTAAGCCTGCCCCCCAACCCTGTTCCCCAATCCCTGCCCCAGTCCTGAGCCCCCTGAAACCTGGAGCCCCTTCCTGCACCCCAAATCATTCATCCCTGGACCTTCCCCAGAGCCTGCACCCTCAGCCCAGAGACTTAACCCCCTCCCACACTCCAATCCTCTGCCCCAGCCCTGAGCCCTTCCCACACCCCAAATCCCTCATCCCCAACTCTGTTGGGTCACAAGCATCAACAATTTTTTTCAACTGGGTCTCCAGAAAAAAAAGTTTGAAAGCTACTGCTATAAAGCAAACTAACTCCCAGCACCTATTCTAGCTCTTACTGACTATTGAGTTGATAGGATAGATATATTGATCAAGGGAGGAAAAATCAAATACTAAATAATAACACTTAGTCCTTTTTTAGGACTTTTTTATCTATAGAGCTCAAAGTACTTTACAAAGGTGGGTAAGTATGCTTATCCCCATTTAACAGATTTGAGTGCCAGATGTGGATTTTCCACCCCCCTGAGCAATGCAGTTATACTGACATATGTTTGTTGTGTAGACCAGGGTTTAGCGCTGTCTCATCGTGCTATCGCTTTCAGCGTAGTTTATTTTTTTTCATAAACTGAAATTAAACAACCTCCCCCTAAACTTTCACTCCAAAAGTTTTGACCATTGTTCAATATTTGGTGCAAGGAAAGTGACAAAATAAGAAACCTCTGTGGTTTGTCATTCTATGGAGAGCTGCTTCCATTTTGAAAAACATCAAAGACAACATAAGTGTTCAACAAAAGGCAGCGCTGATTGTCACTACTCTCTGGCCAAGAGTATAACAACAATTCTAATTTTCTGAACACAGAACCAGTACAAAAATATTCCTGCAGCTCAAGTGAGTTTAACTGAGCTTAACTTTGTCAGCTTGGCGCAGAAACCTCAGGCATATGGAAAGGATGCATAGCATTCCCGGGGAATAGGCACTATCCTCTTGACTGAGCTTACATCAGTTGTGTTTCTTCTTTTCCCCACACACACTGGTGTGATTTCTCCATTGTATAATTGAAGATGTTAAAAAGTCATGCTGAAGATGCTTTCACAGACTGTATAAAGGGTGCATTCTTTTGTTTACTTGCAGCTCCTAGCAGGGTCCCGGTGCACTAGAATCTTGGGAAATGTATGATGTTGGCACTTCTCCATGATCGAAGAACTAAACACTCTCCTCTTCTTTTGTGATACTATAATCTGTTAGCAAAGTAACACTGATTTCTGAGCCATTTGTGCTGCCTGTGGCTGACAAAGCTCTGGTAGGTGTGTTGCTGGGAGGCCGTGTGGGAAGCCTCGCCTTGCAACACAAGATTTGCTTTTTAAAATGTTGCCGGAAACTTTTACTCAGCCAATAAAGAGCAAAGGGATTGACACAGGAATTGCTGAAGGCCAAAGCCCGGGAGAAAATAGTGACTATAAGATGAAAGGCAGAGGCATCTACGGAAGAGTGGTAGGTGAAAGATCGATACAAATAGAGAATGTGGTTAGGCAGCCAGCAGAGGGCAAACAAACCAACTAGCACCAGGACTGTTTTTGCCACTCTCTTGCGGGATTCAATCTAGGAAAAAATAATTGCATATCTATTATTAATAATACATATTTATGTATTATGCTACTCCCTGGAGGGCTCTGAGACCCTTAATAAAAAATCAGTCTAAATACGATCCTTATTGAAAGGTAGCATGGCAACAAAGCAGAAACTAAAGCATTTTCATTTTCACCCTTACATTTTTGTGGCTTTGGACAGGGTGTTTTCACTTGGGAGCATCCGACTATGAAACTCCCTCTCCCACCCTTTGGTCTGATAGAACCCACTGAGGCCTCGTCTAGACAAGGATTTAGGGACGTGATGTTAACACGTTAGCTAATGCATTCTAATGCAAGCTCTGTCCCTCAGTGTTTAGAATTTAGTGAAAGGTGCCATAACTACTAAATTCAGTGTGGTCCTGATTCAGCAAAGCATTTAAGCACATACTTAAAATTAAATCAATAGGATTTAAGCACATGCTTAAATGCCTTTCTGAATCAGGGCTATTGCTGCCTGTGTATACAGGCTGCACTTTACATAGACTTGTTACTTGTCTGTTGTGTATACTGTATATGTAAAACGTTTGCACTCAGATCAAATTAAGATTTCAATCAGTATGCTTAGACTTCTAAAAGCTGGGTACCCGAGATTGTGATCCTTACTTACCTGTTTACGGGCATGGCCATGTTCTTCAGCTGGCATGTTGAATGTACTTTTGTACAATGTTTTGGCAATAAGAAAATAATAGACAGAAATGACAACTAGCGGTATAATATAGAACACCAAAAAGCAAACCAGAGAGTGAGCTTCTTGCAGAATCTTCTCAGATACAGGATAAGGGGCACAAGCTTCAAAAGACACATTTTTTTCAGGATTGCTGAATGAATATAAATCCGAAAATACAGCTTCTGGGATTGCTAATATCATGGAGACAATCCAAACACAGCCAGCTTTACAGCAGGTCTTCAAAACTGCATTTGATGTTTGCAGTTCCAAGGGCTTAACAATAGCTCTGTACCTAGAAACACAACCAACACCATAGTGTTAGAAAACATGCAGTAATATTAGTCTTGTGGCACCAATAATTTAAATTTGTGGGGACAAATTCATGCCTGATATATCTCCATTAAGGTTAACATAATTGTCTTGGGAATTTAAAGGGGTGAATTTGGTCAGTTTTTGTTTTTAAAATGCTAGATATATACATAATTATGCATTTGTTCTTCTGTGTTTTGAAGTGATGCTAGCCTCTCCATAAGGAAGGCAGAAAGAAGCTCAAAGATGAACTTTAAGCATGTAGTTAAATCCTGTTGACTTTAATTGTCTTGAAACTTTTCTCCCCCAGAATGATCATATGTCCAAAATAGACTGGTCTGCAAACTCCGAATTCAGTTTGCTTTGTAAACCATGCTGAGGAAAGGTGCCATCTAGTGTTTGGAGAGGTTTTGTGTGTAAGTTAATATTTGGGGGGAGGGGGGACGGAGTTGTATATTCTGTATTATGGGTGCACAAGGGGAGGTAAATGGGGAATTTACAAAGATATGTAATATAAAGAGCTTGTGTGGAGTTGCACATGCCCCACATTAAAGATAAGCATGAAAGGGTTTAATTAAAGTTTTGTTGAGGTAGCCATAGCAACAAAAGGCAGAGGCGGGCACCTGAAGGGAAGATGGAGTGCTCCTTCCCAGTCTAGTTCAGCCTAGGAGAAGGGCCAGGAAGCTCCCAGACTTGGAATGGGGGGGGACTGGAAACTGGCCATTTTGCTACTCCAGATGGACTATTCTTCTCACAAGAGGCTTTATAAGTTCAGGGATGTTTGTTTTCCTGATGGCTGCAAGCCATTCCTTGGTTGCTGCTGGTTTGTTCTTGTTTTGGGACCTGGCAAAAGGAAACTTTGGCACTGATTCCTTGTGCAAAACAATCACAGCCCAGGTCACACTCATACAGGACAGTTTACACATGTATACAGAGCAAGATTTAAAATAATATATAGACACTTATAAACTGACCTGCTGTTGATTCCTGGCTGTAGTGCTGCAACAAGTAGTCAGACGTGGGAAATGTGTGGACCTGGGTAAACGTGTGGGTACAGGAGAATGTGGAGAGGGACATAGAGAGGAAGGCAAGGGACCAAGAGGGAGGAATGGGCATAGGGAACTGGGGAGCACATGGAGCCACACTCCCTGCTTTCAGAATGGATGAGCCCTGGATTAGGCAGATTGGGGAGATCCATGGAAGAGGGCAGGAGACGGCCATGAAAGAGAATACAGTGAAATGGGGCACAGATCAGTATGGAGGAAAGGCAGAGCCTTTAGTGGAGTTGTACCAATTTACACCAAGTGAGGATCTGGCCCTCTGTTTCTCCTCCGGGCAAAATTAGACACACTCCTGTAAACTAGAACATTAGTAATAACCTTTTACTTACCCCAAGCCCTTATAGCCAATCAGGACACAGTAGCTCATGGTGTTATAATTAACATGTTCTGAACTTTCAGAGTAATTTTAACCATATAATTACTGGATTAAAATATTGTTCCAGGCAATTATACAATGGCCTCCAGTAAGAATTGAAATTCAGAAGCAGTTGCCCATTGTCCTAATACCAACTTGGATTGATTTCTTTTTTTCATTCTCTATACCTGAGCTAGTTGCTATTAACTAGTTTTTCTAGTTTATGGTATTTGAAAACCTTTTCCATCCTTTAACCTTGAGAGTTCATTTTGACTGTTTGTAGTCTTAGATCATTCATGCTCATTACATTGCTGCCTTCTATTTGTTGTTATTCAGTCATAAATAAAGCACATTGTAAATGCTTCTTGGTGAAAATGAATAATTCTGAATCACTTGTGAAGTCAGTCAGATGGGAGCACTTATGTGCTTTAATAATAAAGTATTCAGATTAGTCTGAGTTTAATTTGAGGTCCTATGAAGTAAAATGTCACTGAAAAAGCTACAGTAACTAGAAGTACAATAACAATTAAAATATTGAAATAGTGCTATATTGCATCTCAATCGTAGTGAGCAATTGCCATGCTTAAAATTATTGTATTGCACTAGCTTTCAAATTTGTAAAAAGTCTTAAAAGTAATTTGAACTAACAATTTTGTTTATATTTTACCCCTAAGTGGCAGTCAATTTAGTCAGAGTTTTAAGGCCTGATCCAAAGCCCATTGAAGTGAATGGAAGGATTCCCATTGTCCTTAGTCCTTTTCACAGGAGGATGTGTTGTTCATCCTCATTGACTACTTCTGTACACCACTAGGTAGCACCCATATACAAACTATCTTTTCCCTGCTGTAAACCTTTTATCTTTCTTGATTCAGTAGAGGAAAAAAATGTCTTTCTTACATCACTTCAAACTAATAAAAGGTCAGATTATTTTTTAAAATTATTTTTAAATTCACTTCATTAAAAAGAATTATTTTACACTTTCAGAGAATATTGATCTCTTAACTTAAACAAATTGGAGTTGATTTTTAATGATTATTGGAAAAAATCATCTAGCTTTTAATGGGAACATGTAACATCATATTTATCTATCCAAGGACAAAGTATTACAGATTAATGCAAAGTGATGGCTTCTTCCCTTTTATTCATTTCTATCTGAATGCACAAGTACTTCCTGACAACCCTAATTGCTGCAGACCTACCTGTCAGCACTGAGAACAGTTAAAGTGAACACTGATACTCCAACTGAAGTTAACTGGATAAAAGATAACAGCTTGCAGCCAATTCTTCCAAAGAGCCAGGTATCCACAATATAGCGTGTTGCATCTACTGGCACACAGGTTAACAAAAGAAGCAGGTCTCCAAAAGCCAAGCTGGTTATGAAAATGTTTGGAACCGTCTGCATTGATTTAATCTTGAAAAAGACTTTGATGAGTATAGCATTTCCGAGGAGACCCACTGAAATGATTACAGCATATGTAACATAAATTGTGCACAGTATTTCTAATCCTGGAAAGGAGTCTTCAGTCCATCCTTGATCTACAATATCGTTGTCATTGATAGATCTCAGTTGTTCTGTAATATTGATCGATGCGTGTGAAGTCTGATTAGCTGAATGCCAGTGTGCCAGAGACATCTCTTTAAATGTGTCTTCTATCCAGGCTGAGTTGAAATTGTTGAGAAATGTTTAATTCTCAACCTGTAGCATGTCAGCAAGAAAGACCATTTAAAAGGTATAGAATTGTGTTTGAAATTAAGATTCCTTAGTACATTAACTAATTTCTTTCACCAATCTTAAGTCCCAAAGTATGATTGGAATAATGCACACAGATCCAGTACTGAACTGTGTGGGAGGTGGAGAATTCTTTTATTGGCTTTTCAGCCAGTGGAGGTGGGGAGGGAGGAGTAAAAGAGAGATTCTTAAAGGTATTATCTGCAGTCATTTTTTTGTCATCAAGGTACTTGTGAATAGATGCTTTTTTATTATTATTATTATTTATTAAAACAGCGATTTTTGCATACTACCTAGTAAATATTCCTTAAGGCTTTGTTAAAATATTTTTACAAAAGAAATGTACCCTGTACTACTTATATAGGAAACCTTTCAGGTTTTCAAAAGATTATAGGTAAGTGTAAAGTCTGCTAATTAACATAGTGCTCCGCAGCATGTGTTAATATTGGATAAAAACATACTGAAACACAGATAGTGAACATCTATAGGAAAAGATATAGAGTCATGAAGCTGTGTTGATTTTTACAATTGTTTAGATCAGTGCCTTACAGAAATGTGGACAAATTCGGGTATAGCACAGTAATCCAGTGGGCTGCCAAAAGACAATTTAAGATAGCAAACTATGGCTACATTACTGCTAATGCTTACAAACACGCTTAATTTTACCAACCTGAGCAATCCCATTGACTTCATTAGAATGACTCGTGGTTAAAGTTAAGGAGATATATAAGGAGTTGCAGAATTGAAGCCTGTTATCTTGTGATCACCCATATACCTGTCAGATATGACTGGTATGACTGATAACACAGATTTTTTGGCAGATAGTTATGGAAAATCTTTAGATTCCCTATACAGGAGAAGTCTGTATCTCCAAATATTAGTAACTAATTTCTTTAATTATTTTTAATTCACTGGTTAACAAATACAAACTACAAACTATTGAGCATGTAGATGGTAGAACTGATAACACAGATCATTTGACAGAACAGTAACTTAGCTTTCTTTGTTACACTACTTCAAAGTTATTAGTGCTATGGTTCTTAGTATCCCAGATTAGGCAATTAACAGTCAAATTCTGCTCTGAGATGACCCCATTGACTTGCATCCCCAAGATATTGGGAATTGGACTCACTGGGTCAAATATACCGTTAATATAAGCAGGCAAAACTCTCTTTTTCCTCAGCTTGGGAAGGGGACGGATGATTAAGGACAAAGATCTGTGTCTGGAGTATTTTTTTCCTCCACATTCCCTTATTTAGCTGTTAGACAATAGGACATTCTCCTTATTCATAGCTTTACAGAATCCATATTTTGAATCATTGTCTATTTCTCTCCACCAATCTATATAAAATGTGAATTTTTGATAGAGGGGATTTGCTGGATCTCAGTACAAAATTGAATTAGCAGAAATTGAACTTGTTCCATGTAAAGTGATTAAAAAAAAAATCAGATCCTAAAACCATACTGGAATCTCCTGATTTTTCTGCATGACAGCCAAAATATCTGCACTCACCACTATGCCATATTTAACATTCAAAGATCAGAGGGGTAGGCAGGATACACACAGGTTGAGTGTGTAAAAAAAAAAAAAAGTTATGGATACATAAAAAGTATGTAAGTCAAAAATTCAAATTAGGACCCTTTATTGGGTTCTTTTTAGTAGATAAGTTCTTATCACGCTCATCCCTCATAAGTCCCATTGTATGGGTACAGTGTGTAGGCTGCTCACAAATTTAGGTGCCTTTGAGGATGGCCTGATTATATTGTCCACCCACACCAGCATAGTTGTGTACATTATGCTTAATATGGAGTGCTGCAACTGTAGCACATTGTGACAGCTTAATGGCACATAGTTATGTAAAATGTTTAGATTCCCCGTAAAGGAGGAGTATGTATCCTCAAACAGTAGGAACTAATTGCTTTTCATTATTTTTATTCACTGGGGGACAAATACAACCAACAAACTGTTAAACATCTACTATAATAGCACAGAGAATGAAACACCAGATGTGTGTACCTAAAACTGGGATTTAGCTGAGATAAACTTGTAACTCACATTGGGATTATATTCAAGATTGGCCCATGCTGCAGTGTTAAGGTATAAATCCAGATGTCAACTTCCCCAAAGTCTCACGATATTCAGACCCACTAGAGAGACTGGAGCAGGCAAAATTAAATCTGAGGTCCAGATTTTCCTCTGCAGTTTGACCACTCCGCATCACATTATTGGAGGATGCTGGACCTAAGCATATGTAGCTGACCCTGGGAAGATCACTTCAGTGTAAGGGATCCTCTGGTGGCCTGGAGACTCCTAAACCACCACCTCTTTCAGCAGCTAGCTGTTCAGTGAAAAGAAGGTACATGATGGGCTTCCCTGCACTCTGGCAGTCCTCAGCTGCCATATTGGCCCCTTAGAGCTGCTGACAGCTGGCACAAATTAAAGCAATGCAGGAAGAGGGAGCACAAGGAGGGTATACAGCCCCCTTTTCACACACTCCCAAATTGTACTGTGTGCTCCTCGGCCAAAGCCAAGGATCTGGACTCTGGATCTGAATCCAGCTGTCACAATTTGGTGCGGGGGAGTGGTTCTGATGCAGAGTTTTGGATCAGGGCAGTTCCATAATATTTACAATTTAAAAGCCGATGTTACCTGGGAATATGGGGACACATTTAGCCTGCTCTTATTTATCTCTAATGTATGGTAGTTGCACAGTACAGCTTTCCACCCCAGTTTACATGAGCATGCCAAATTCGAGCAGTAGTTTTCCTGCTTAGGTCAGCTCTTTCTACACACAGTTTAGATATTTACCAGCTTTGTACCTCCTCAGAGAGAGCTGTCAAGGAGAGGCTTGCCTGCCTCCCACTGATTCTTCCCAGGGAGGATTGGAAGCTCTTTGCATTTCTGATGGAGGTATTTTTGGAATCGGAGAGGGTCCTGGCTGCAGATTTACAAGCCATCCAGGCACTGATTTACAGAGCAGAGAATATTTTCACAGCCAAAGTTCTAGTCAGGGCCGGCTCCAGGCACCAGCCCACCAAGCTTGTGTTTGGGGCGGCACCTGGAGGGGGGTGGCGCGGCGTGGCGCTCTGGCTCCAGCCGCCGGGGAGAGCGGAGCCGCAGTAGGCTCGCCGCCTCCCCCCGGTGCTCTGGCCGCCGGGGAGAGCGGAGCCCCGGTCGGACTCTCCGCCCTCCTCCCGGGGCTCGCTGTCCTCCCCCCCGGTGCTCCGGCTGGTCGGGGAGAGCGGCCCGAGGCCAGGCTCGGCGCCCTCCCCGGCCGCACTGGGGCGGCGAAAAAGCCAGAGCCGGCCCTGGTTCTAGTAGATGGAAATTTCACTTTAAAAAAAACAAAACCCCTGGATTTTAGGGAATCCAGCAAAATATGTGAAAAGTCACTAAACCCACAAAATGTGCATACTGTTCATGATTATGGGTCTCTACCAATCAGACCTCATATGGTAGGTATTCAGCTTCAAAGAGAATAGTTTGTTTTCCAGTCTGAATTTAGGCAAAACAGATTTAAAAAAAAATAAAGGAGATCCAATGGATTTCCATTGTGAAAATCCAAACGGGAAAAGGAAGAGGAGAATGACATCATTAGCCTAAACAGTAAGCAGCAAGAGCAGAGTATTTTTAAACTATATCCTTAAGTGTTAAGAGAAAATCACTTTGGGTAATTCTGACTCTCATTCTTAAAATATAGTGTTTTATAGAAAATGAATGTTCCTTTTAAACTCGCCTGCTGCAAGATCATAGAAATAAACGACTTCAGAGTGCTTCATTTAGCTGTTTCTCTGAATGAAAATGTTCTGTTTTAATGCAGAGTGCTTGCTGTCTTTTAAGTAATTTCTATGAACTGTGCAGTAATACCTACTTAGGAAAAATACCTACCAGAGCCATTTGCACTGTAACAGACCAAGCATGAAGAGAACAACCAAGGTCATAATTCCTATTAAAGGACTAACTTGTCTAACGTGTAATTATTCTGTGTAGCATATGTGTATTATATTTTTATTATTTTATTGGACAGACAGGGTTGATTGTTATTTATCTGAAATACATAAAAGAGATTCACAACTAAACTGGCAAGTATAGAGAATTTTTAGACAGGGAAATGCCATTTGGCGTAGCCAGCCTATGCTCTTTAGAATTATTTTAACTCAGCTTGCTAGGTAGTAATTGTATAGTCTGTGCCTAGAAATATTTAGCTGTCTCTTAGGCCTTGTCTACACTACACAGTTTTGTTGACAAAAGTCAGTGTTCGTCGACGAAATAGTGGAGGGTGTACACATTGCAATGCTCCTTGTGCCGACAAAATAAAACCACCTCGACAAGATGCGTAGAGCTTTTTGTGGCAAATTTATATTGACAAAGTGTTAGTGTAGACCCTGCGCTTGGTTATGTCGCTGTAAATGGCCTCCAGGAGGTGTCCCACAATGCCAATCCTGACTGCTCTAGTCAGCAGTTTGAACTCTACTGTCCTGCACCCATGTACAGAGACATTCGCCCCTCCCCCTTTAAAGGCACAGGAATTTTTGAAATTCCATTTCCTGTTTGCTCTGTGCGGAACACTCACATCGCATCTTCCCAGCTGACCGGCAGCTCCACACAGCAAACTCTCTCCAGCTTGGAGCACACTGAGTTGTTGGATCTGCTGGCACTGTGGGGAGAGGAGGCTGCGCAGTTCCAGCTCCACTCCAGCTATAGGAACTTTGATATCTACGTCAGATTTCTTGTGGCGTGTTGGAAGAGGGCTACAAACAGGTCATGCATCAGTGACATGTGAAGATAAAGACGCTGAGGCAGGCATACCAGAAGGCAAGGGAGGCAAACCTTCACTCTGGTGCTGTGCCAAAGACCTGCCACTTCTATAAGGAGCTGGACACCATCCTTGGTGGCAACCCCATCTCCACCACCAAGAGCCTCATGGATATTTCGGCGGGGGTGGGGACAGTGGACTCAACCCCAAGGACGAAGTTGTGGACCAGTGGGTCAAGTTGGAGGATGATGTGGAGCACACGGCAGGTTCGTCTGGTGGTGCAGTGAGTCAGGACCTCTTTTCCACTCCGGAGAGGTCTAGCCAGTCCCAGCAGTCCATC